TACTCTTTACAGACTTTTTCTTTGAAACTAGGCTGCTCTTTAGGATGTGTCTCCGTATAAATGCTCCAGGTATTTCTGAATGATACAATAACTACAGTGATAAACATTATTATCTCTTAAAAGACTCTTCAGAAAAAAAAAAAAAAAAAAAAAAAAAAAAAAAAAAAAAAGATCTTTAGGAGACTGATTCTAAACCAAATGGAGGCATAATGGAGGCATGGGTTACCTCTGGGAATGTGATACCACAAAATTCCTTATAGATGGTGTGATACTATGCTGGATTCATAATTCGATATTATGAATATGCTTCAACGCGTGCACCTGAGTACTGTTTTTTCACTTTCTAAAAAGCCTTTTTATACCTTTAACTGTATGCACAACACCAAATAAAGCAAAGATAGGAAAGAAGAAATGTAAATCTCCGGATTTTCTCTGCAATAATTAACCTGCTCATTTTGATCCAAGTACATTTCATAAATCATTCAAAATCATTCAAAATCAAGATAGTTAGACAAAAGCAACTGCTAACTCTTTGTATTTTATTCCACATTTTTACATTAATCTCTGAAATATTAGTCAATAAAAGTATCACTATGTTAAAATTAATTTTTGTTCTTGTAATAAAGAAAACATTATAAGACTTGCCTTCCTCATCAATAAATTTAGAATCCAAAGTGTACTTGACTTTTCAGAAATACTAAGTAGCTATGTTTATTATTCAGAGTCTCTGACAAAATCTACAAGGTTGGTCAATCTAACTATTTAGTGAAACAAAGTCTATAGCAGCATGAGGATTTTTCATAATTTTATTAATAATGTTTTCCATTCAAGATAATAAAGTATACAGGGTTATTTTCCTCTCTAGAAAATGACTTAATATTCATACATTTTTAATTATTTTTCAGTATTATTATGTATATTATCATGTTATTTCAACTTAATTAAAGCATTATAAAATAATTAATTTACAAGATTCTGACTGACCAAATATAATGACTGCATGGAATATGTTTGTGGAAAAGTTAAGATCCTATTCAACCTGATAGAAAGGGTATCAAATGTCAGACAATCTCTATTTCAAATAATCAGATAGTGAGAGGTGATTATTAGAAAACTGGCAAAATCACTGGCAAATGTGTGTATAATTTAAAAAAACAAACAAAATAATAATTCAGAACTAATTCATTTTGAGTTAATTTAACTGCTCCTAATACATTATATTTCACATCTTAGATTTGGTTATATTAAATGCTTGACATTTTTATTTATTTGATAGGCAATTTTCCATTAGGTGTATTGTTGCTGGAGGCTTTTAGAATGTGAACATAAACTTATTTTCTAATTTACCTACTGTAACAGAAAATGTCAAGCTTTACATATTAGGAAAGTAGATTGAACAATTATCATAAGTTTTGTGTTTTTTCTCTTTTCCTTTATTTTTCTGAAGTGATCAGAATAATATGTTATGGCAGTAAATTTTAGCTCTGATCAACAGCAACGGAGGTCAGGCTTTTGCAGTTATATTAATCCAATAAGGTTAACTAGCCCATAAAAAATAAGTGCTGAAGTGTTCATTTCTCTGCAGGTTATACTGCTAGGTGGCTTGCTTTTCCTGTTATAGCAATTTTATTACAAGTTTCTCCAGAAAAGGAAATGTTAAGTGATTTCTGGAAAATAAATGAACAATAAAAGTCACTGAAACCTTCATATGATATATATTATTTGCGTACACTAGAATGACCCAAATAGAGTTTCTTTTTTTTTTTTTTTAATTTAAACAATAGAAAAGTCAAAAACAGGCAAAATGGAATATTAATAAATTTAATAAAATTTTTAAAATGACAGATGTAATACATATTTTTGCCTGAAAATATGTATACTTGTGATTATAGTACTTTATTTATTTATTTATTTATTTATTTATTTAAAGAATTGACAAATAAAAACTGGGAGATGAGCTAGTTATCTTCCTTTGAGATGGAGATTTGAGAATTGAGGGAGATTAGCATATCTTCCTTTTACCACCAACCACTGGTGGGACACTGCAATCTTATCCCTTATTATTCCAGTATTTAGAGTATATAGTATCTTCCCTGATCATTATATTAAATTTACAATCCATGTTTCTTTAATTTCAGTTATAATTATGCTGGGAATTTCTCCTTATTTTGTGTGAAAGAAATGTTTGTGGAAAATAAAAGTTTGTGCATGTGCTAAAATTGTGATATCAGATCTTTCCCTGGAGAAAGGCATATAGATTTTCCTTATATCCCCTGCTTAATAGACAAATCTCTACATACTCCAAAACACAAAATATTTACAAGTCAGAAGTTACACAATTGGGTTAGTATATTTTTAAATGTCTGTTTTCATGGAGAAACTAGGGAAAATGAAGCATCATTTAAATAATTCTATATTGTTATTGTTTCAAATGAGTTATTTTTCATTTTAAAAGGGATCACATGTACAGTGATCAGACAGAGCTTTTAGGAAGTATGTCATTCTAACTTTGTATATGTAGCCACATGAGTCAGCAAAATTATTCACATGCTTTAATATGTTATTCACATGTTTTAATAATATCATATCTTTACTGTTAAGGCATGTAAGCCTTAAGGCATGGAAGCCTTTAAACTGTTAAAACGTGGCAAAAATCAGTGTACTAATCAGATAAGCATTGTTCCCTTTTAAATTCAGGCTTTTATGTTTTTCATAAATATTTTTAATTGATCTCCAAGATTTAAATGGAGGCATTACGTGATGACTCTTAGTACATTCAGTGGAGGTAATTGAATTTAAAGGGTTATAGAGCTCCAGCTGTTTTGTCTGTCTCTGCCACTTTGCTTTCACAAAGCAGCTAAGCTTGCTCTATTTTCTTTTCTCTTTTGTCTTTTAAGTCTTCAGTCTATTAAGACTGTAAAGCCTTGTAGACAAACATCTTCCTTTTATAGAGTGTGCATGTAGACACTCTGATGATGAGTCCCCATTCAGAGATTGTGACCTCTAACTGGTATCATAGTACAGGTAGCAAACAACATCTGTAACATCCCAGATTCTTCCACATTGATGGCGTGTCTACTGGGAAATCTCTTATAGATTTGAATAAAACCAGAGGAAACTTGGCAAAGAAAGATGTTTTCTTCACAGAATTGCAGGAAAGTCTCAAACGTATTAAGCAAGGATGCTGAGGATATATTTATGAAATGGAAGACATTCTCAGATAAGTCATTATAATAAATAAACATTGTTCATCTGAAACTATTTCTCTGCAGAGAAAGTATTGATTTTTAAGCACTGGAATCAATGGGAAATGCTGTTTAAAAATTGATGGTGTGATATGGCCCTTCTTATCAATGGTTTACATTTATTCACTCTATTGTCCAAGAATTTGATTGTCTTTCAGATTATCTGTTGTTCTTCTTGAATTGCAGCCCAGACTTGGTCTTCTGTGGGGTGATGCTTTATAAATTTCATTTCAGGAAAGCTTTTGCTGACCTTGCCCCTCTACTCTGTGCTGGTGAGGCCACACTTGGAGTAATACATGCAGATGTGAACTCCTCAGTACAGGAGAGACACAGGCATGTTGAAGCACGTCCAGAGGAGGGCCACAAAAATGATCCAGAGGATTGAACACCGCTCCTATGAGAACAGGCTGAGAGGGCTGGGGCTGAGAGGGCTGGGCCTGGATGGAGAAGAAAAGGTGCAGAGATGACCTTACAGCAACCTTGCAGTATCTAAAGGGGACAAGGGGAAACAAAAGGACAGACTATTCAACAGGGTCTGTAGTGACAAAACAAGAGGAAGTTATTTCAGACATAAAGAGGGTAGATTTATGTTGAATATAAGGAGAAAGACTTTTACAGTGACGGTAGTGAGGCACTGGAACAATTTGCCAGGAGACGTGGTGGATGTCCCATTCCAGGAGACACTAAGGGTCAAGATGGACAAGGCTCTAGCTGTGGATGTCTCTGTTCATTGCAGGGGAGTTGGAGTAGATGACCTTTAAAGGTCCCTTCCAACTATAGATTCTATGACTGTGTGATTCTATGTACAATCTTATACACTTTAATATAAAAATTGTCAACTGAAACTTTTCAATTGAAATTCAGTAGCTCTGGAGATGCCACTTCTCTGCTGTTTCACGAGCAGCATATTTCCAAGTAGTTTAACGCTCTGAGGATGTTACCATATGCCAGAGAACACAAATACTTGCATACGCTCCACTAAGATCTGGAGGACTGATACAGAAAAAGACACTGATCTACACATTTCTACATTTTTAATGTACATACAGATGAGAATAGATCAGTAAAGTTCTGGTTCACTATATATCAACACAGATAAAGTAAAAATTAAGGCTACATATGAAGAAAATAACAAAGAAATTTTGTACAGAACGTCAATAGCATGACCGCACTTGAAATAGTTTCACTCTTAGGCTAACCAACTAAGCTGTTTTTTGACTGCTAGCTTAAACTTTTCCATGAAACTACTGTAATGGCTATAGATTTCATTCAATGTGGCAGTTATTCCGGTGAAGGTCTAGGAAAAGGTTCTGTCTGTTGCTATTTCTAGCAATGGCTAGTTTAACAGACCTTTTCCTGAACTCTTTCTGATGAGGAGATATTTCTTGAGTACAAAATGGCAAAGATTTTCAAAGCTCATTGTGTCTGATCACATCTAAATCATACAAATTTTAAGTTAAATTACAGATGAGTCATCAATCAGATAAAAAAGAAAGCATGCCATAAAGAAAGTGTAATTTATCAAAAGTATAGAATGTATAATGTGGATTTTAAACTCTCTATAAAATAATGAAGCAATATACAAGAAATATTTAGCTATTTTTAAATGCAAATCAACAACTAAACTGATTTAATATGAAATAAGATTTATTTTAAAATTGCTGTAAGAAGCAAGAATTTTGTGTATTTAACATTATAAATCACTATTATTTTAGTGAAACTGAATATAGAACTATTCCAAAGAAGGATCTCCTTTCTGTCCCATGCAACTTCATTTCTGTAGAGAAACACTTTCTCATCTGATCAGTAATAGCAATAATTACACAGTTAATTGTATTGTCTGGTTAACCAGAAGAAGGATATTTTTAAAAGAAATAAAATTTAAGTTTTCTCCCTTTTCCACATGTTGCTACTCTTAGTTTTCAGTTTACTGTAAGTCTCTCACATTCATCAAAAAAAAAAACAAAATAAAAAGACGACTACAATGAAAATCACTTTATTGCTCTGCAAAATCTGATTTGTAGAAGGCAGGGTGAAGAGTTCATATAGGCATCTAAGCACATCTCAAACAAAATAAATCTGATTCCTACGCTGCACATGAACAAACGAGAGATGCATCCCATCAGACTCTGAACAGATCTGTCATTGTTTACCATTAGCTCTGTCATATTCGCATGCCTTGTCACTCTGTATAGCAGGGCAGGGGCTGGCTTGCTGCCAAATTGCAGATTTGCTGAACTGACTTCTAACTCCAATTCTCTGTAGATCCTGAAGGCGGTATAATTCCTGATGAAAGTGTGCTCCCTAGTGTTGCAGTGCTACAAAGGCCAGTGAGCTCCAATTAGGAAGCTATAAAGAGAAAAAATTCTTCAAGTATTATTTCAACAGATTCTTCTGCTTCTGGGAGGCTTATTCAGTTCAGGATATCTATTTTGTTGTTCCTCAAATACTATATTCATTCAGCTTTCAAAACAATAACCAAATCCAGGTAATTTCCTTTTTTCTTTAGAAAGACGAAGTGGTATTTCATTTTTTCATGACACAGTAAGAGCTTTTCACCTGGTGCACTAAAGATTCTGTGTCTACAACAATTTCAATGACATATATGTTTAAATACATTAGCTGCCTAGTTTTCAGTGGTTTTCAATTCCAATACTAGCCTCCAATTACCATTAACGTTTGCGTTATCAGCATTCTTACAACAAGCTTTGGTGGCTTAGCTTTGCTTGTAATCCATTACATCTGCTAAGCATTACAGGATACAAAGGTAAAAATCCCTTTTTTTATAGCTGAAGTTATATAGTCCCTGTAGGACACAGTCATCCATATTTGACCCTTGAGCTTCTGGTAACGATGAGTTAATGAACCCAATTTTCAGCATTTAAACTTAAACAAGTTTGAAGACCAAACTTTAAACGGATTATTAAGGCTAACATGGTTTATAGGCAAATATTCATAAATAGTGGTACATTTCACCTGCCTCAGAGATCTGCATTTGTCTGGAATGTATTATTTTATCACTAGATTTAAGCAGATGCCCAAAGTCCAAAGAAATGCCCACCATATTTCACAAGGTGAAATATGATGTAAGAGTTAAGTCATAAAATACTCATGTGATAAAATGTGAATACAAGCAAATATTTTATATTTGTTCATTATTCCCAGACATACTTGGTTGCATACAGGTTAATTTTTTTAATGTTCACTGGCAAAGTCAAATATATTTTCTGGTACTATTAATGCATTCAATATCCATATCATTGACTACAAAGAAGCCACCTCAGAAGCACAGCATACAGAATCCAGGTCAGTGGAATACCATAGAACTAAACTCACACACCCTCAGCAGCTCTGAGAGAAACTACTTGTTCTGGATGATATCATAGACTTTTGTCAAGAAAGAGTATGACTACATCACAAAGAGAAAAATGCAATCTGATGTAGCAAATAGAAAAAAAAAAAAAAGAGAATAAAAAGCAAATTAAAAAGAAATGTAAACCATTTTTTCAAATACCATATGTGAAGAACAAAATGTATTGTACAAATCCTTGACTCTTCAGTTAAATAAGTGTTCAGAAGTCAACAGTGATAAATTTGTGCATCTGATCATGTACCAACAAACAGGTGATAAATACTTCAGACATAAGTAATATCTGAGAGCATTTAGGCATCTATTTCAAAGACACAATCACTCGCTTAAACATCCAAGTAAAATTATTTATCTCTACAGGAATATAAGCATGAAGGAATACTGTATTTTGCAAATGCAGTTATATATTTAATTTTTATATAAATACACTTGGAGAATAAATTGCTTACTAAGCAAATAGCCCACATAAGTATACTAGAAATACTCAGTGTGAAACACTTATCTTTTCTGGAATGCTTTTCAAGTTCCTATGCAATACTGGAAAACTGAATATCAAATATGGGATTGAAGCCCACATTTTCTGCATTTCTGTTATCAGAAAATGCGTACAGTTTCCTCACATACCCAAGCAAACTTTTTAATATATCTTCTGCTGACATGGGCTAGGGAGCTCTAAAAATAGCTAAACATTTACCAACATTAAATTGACATAGTAATTATGTATGTGGTGCAGTACAGAGTAGCTTATGTCTTAGGAACTATTCCAACTCTAAATTTATCTTGTCATTAAATTTATGGAATATTAAAGATTATGTCTTTTTCTTTCATTTTTTCTTTTCTTTTCTCTTCTTTTCTTTTCTTTCTTTTTTTTTTTTTTTTTTCTTTTTCTGTTTTTACGGACATCACAACCACTTGTTAGGAAATAAGTGCCGTCAGCAAAGAATTACTTTTACTCCTGTAAGAAATACAAATACTTAAAAGAAAAATTAACATAAGAACACCTATGTTAATGCATATGTAAACGTTTAATGTATAGTGTTCTTTCCCCTTCCTGTCAAAAAAGCCAAATTAAGACAATTTATGCAATATATTCAACAAATCAGGGAGGCTTTCAGGGGTGGAAAGGAAAATAGATAATATATTAATGTCACATTTCTTTAAATTTCTTCATGAAATATGTTTTCATTTTGTTTCTTAGAAGAGGGGATTGTTTTTTAGGTTTCTTGGTATTTTGCTGTCTCACAAAGCTGATGAGCATTCTGTTAATCAAACTTTCATTGCCTAACAGAAAATAAACAGAATTCTCTTATTAAAAATAGTCTCCATATCCAGCAGTACAAATATTTCCAAGTTCCTCTGAAGTCACTGAGCTTTCACTGAGCTTTTCCTGATCTAGATGTGTATGTCCTGATCTAAATGTGTATGTTTGGTGGCCCTGCTAGGCAGGGGGGTTGGAACTACATGATCCTTGAGGTCCCTTCCAACCCGGGTGATTCTGTGATTCTGTGATTCACATAATCATGAGGAAATCCATGAGGAATAGTGTAAGTCCAGATTTTTACCAACTTTCAATTTAACTTTGTTATTTCAGTCTGTATATGGTATACTGAGTGAAAATGCAGAAAACAGTGTACCTGTACTTTAGTCCTCCATTTTTTTCTTAGAACAAGCGAGAGGTTAAAAATGAAACCCCAGAATGGAGGTGACTAAGAAAATTTATTACTAGAGACTTAGCAGACAGACTAAAGAAAAGACTAATGGCAAGAATGTTTCTTTTTTACATGGGAAAAAAAAAAAAAAAAAAGCTGAAACTAAACCTATAAGGGTTTGATAATTTCTTGATAAATCCTTGTAATTTATTGGTAATCATTAGTATTATGGACTATATGAATTTATGTCAAGTTCTCCACCTAATTTTAAATTATAGAACATTTCTCTATTTTGCCTCCACATAGATCAAAAATCCAGAAGAAGTTAACATCAGACAAGGGTTTATCAACAAATGTATTATAAATCCTACATGATTCCAATAAAAGGGGAAGAAAATAGGACATGAAAAATAAAACAAAACAAAACATGCTCATGAGGAAAAATGCTTTGTTGGTGTTTCTCATACTAGCTAATTTATGGTATACTTTGGTACTAATCATTCACGAAAAAGTTAGGAGATCCTTTAGGATTCCTTTATACGAAGGTCTCTTTCAGGAAACAGGAAACTACCTAGTGGGAAGTGCTCTCCTAAGTCTGTGTTGTGTTTTTGTATTTCGACTAGGAACATGACTCAAACCTAGCACCAAACGCAATGAAATAAGTGTTTCAATCATCACTCTATGATTTGGTTTGCTGAAAACAAGAATTTTATTTTCATTAGGTTTATTGCATTATTGTTTTCTGCAGTGTTACATAAAATAATATTCTTCTTATACGTAGGATAATCATTATCATTTTATTAATCAATTTGGCTTTTAATTTGTGATTTATGAAGAGAAAACAGTGTAATGATGTAGGATAAATTTGACATTTATTCAAGTGATAATTCAAGTATCTGCAGATTTCTACAAGAAAAGAAATAAAAAAATCTAGTGATACATATTCATTTATAACACCAGAAATTTTGTAAAGTTAAGCGTTGCAGATGTGCCAGTGTTTCACTAGTTTATAGACTGTCTGAAAGATTCTACTTGGTGAGAGTTATATTTTATTGAGTTGCTGAAGTCTACAGCTCTGTTGAGTTCTTTGAGTAACTTCCTCTCACCTCCTTGTTTTTTTCCTACTTCATCTGTGAGGTTCATCAATGTACTATCACTGTTCAAAGAGTCCCTGATTTTAAGATACAGTGACATTTGGCTTTTATATCTTCTTCCTGGTAATAGAATTCTGAAATATTTTATTCTAATTATTGGCTTCAAACACAGATTAATAAATCATTTAATTTCCTACATATGTATCAAAACACTGATCTTCTAATGAGTTTTCTAAGTATGTATGAGCCAGTTCAAACGGAGCTGAAATCATATTTTGGGTCCTAGAGAGGGCACCAGTTTTTTTTCCTGCTTAGGATTTGAAATAAAGAAAACAAACAAGCAAAATAATAATAGTAATAATAATAATAATAATATCTGTAATTTCATTGATTAAAATATTTATAATTTGGTAGAAAGGTGAAATCTTCACCTAAACTAAAAAGAAATTTAAAGAAAGAAAAAAAAAATTATCATGGGAGCTAATTTGTTGAATGAAGTACGCAGTATATGTTTGGGAAAAAATAATCTTAAATACATGATTTCATTTAGAAATTCCTTGCACAAGGTATGCAAAAGTCAGCTGACATTGACCATGCATACACTGTTGTAGTTGAAGGCATACTTGTTTTTCATAAATAGCATAATGAATGTATTATAGTTAATTTTAGTAATTTTAAAATATTTAAATGTGTTTTAAATTTATCATAGTAATGCCATAGGTTATTGCTTTTCACATGTTTAGTATAATTCTAAAAAAAAAAATCTATGCTATGCATTAAGGTACAGAATCTATCTTCCTTATTATTTCACAATAAACTTCACATAATTTTTGGCACTCTTCCAGTTAGTCAGTTGGTAACTTTAGGATCACAATAATTTCTAAAACAAAAATCAAGCACTCATACCAGAATACACATGCAAAAGACATCTGAAAATCAGAAGACAGTAGAAAGAATGACATCAATTTTTGGAAGTTCCTGGAGGAATGGAAAGGACCATCTGAAGTATGAAAATATTTTTCTCTGTACCAGTGTGACCTGTGGTACAAGACTGTAGTGGAGAAAGAGAAACAGAAAGAGAATCTTACTTTTTGACTTTTTTTTTTCATTTTCACTTCACAGAGGTGAGCCTGCTTTTCAGAATGGGACCTTATCCCAGTGTTCAGGTGCCTCTTCCTGGAGGCCTCTTAAAATGTTTTAAGAGACTACTCATTCAGCTTTATTACCAAGAAAATT